AGCTCAAAATCTTATGATTCTATATTTGTGATAGTAGATCGTTTCACCAAGATGGCATATTTTGTGCCATGTACAAAATCTATCACATGTGAAGAAACAGCTAAGCTTTTCATTGATAATATCTATCGCTATCATGGATTACATAAAGATATCATATCAGATAGGGGAACTCAATTTGTGTAAAGATTTTGGAGGACCCTTTTCAAGATTTTAAAAGTAGACATAAAGCTATCTTCGGCTTTCCATCCTCAAATTGATGGACAAACAGAGCGCGTAAACCAAGTCTTGGAGCAATATTTAAGGTGTACTATCAACTACCAACAAGATGATTGGACAACCCTTGTGCCATTGGCAGAGTTTGCTTATAATAATACGGTACATTCTTCCACGCAACAAACACCTTTCTTTGCCAATTATGGCTATCATCCACGACTTGATACTTTTGATTTTTCAAAAGTTGATAATCCTGCAGTAGAAGATATGGCAAATCGGTTGTCAGAGTTACATGCAATAATGAAGACGCAATTGAAGGAAGCTCAAGAACGACAAAAGATAAACGCAGATCTATATCGTAAGAAGCAACCACAACTCAACGTGGGTGATAAGGTATGGCTACTTCGTCGCAATATCAAGACTACTCGACCTTGTGACAAGTTGGACTATCGTAGGCTTGGCTCCTTTTCTGTCTCTGAACAGATCAACCCAGTTGCATATCGGTTACATCTACCGGACTCAATGAAGATCCATCCTGTATTCCACGTGTCTCTTCTTGAACCATATAAGACAGTGGATATACAAGGAAGAAGACAAATGCCACCGCCTCCTATAGAAGTAGATAATAATGAAGAATTTGAGGTGGAAGAGATATTAGACTCAAGGCGGCGTCGAAATAAGCTGGAATATCTTGTTCATTGGCGCGGATATGATATTAGTGAACGCACATGGGAGCCATCCAGGAATCTAGCAAATACATCAACTAAAGTCAAAGTTTTTCATCAACAACATCCATCAAAATCAAGATGAAAATCTCTCTTATAAAAGAGACAAGATTGAGGTAAGATAACATTCAATTTTCTATCCTTGTTTGTAACTTCTTTACATTTGTGACGCAAATTAGATAGAGAGCCAACAACCAACGGATTCAACTCAAGAACCTTCGTTTGTTGACCTACCGGACGAGACATTATGATTGTCACAACCTTCGAGACGACGCAATCGAGATGAAGATCTTCAAGAACGACATGTTCTTCCTCGAATAGATGGTGAGATACAACGCGTTTGGTATCACGATTTGGGAAGGGACTCTTGATGTTTGGTGATTTTGCTAGAGGTAGGAACAACTCCTGATGGTCTTCCGAATATTCTATTCGAAGGAAGTTACGAAGGCCTCAAAAATGATCAAATAACTGGGTGGTCTTCCCGCCCTGGTATGGGACACTATCGATGGTTGAGAGGCCCTATCAATCATCTTCGAAGAGAACAGAGATCAGAGTATGTGGTGAATACAATTCGTCGCATCATAGATTTCCTCAACATATGATGACCGCTCCTCGTGGAACTCGTCTCTAGAAGGGGGGGTAATGTCACGGCCATAATCATGTAAGCTAATAATTACATATAGAAATAGATAGAAGTAAGTAAAAGTAGATAAAAGTAAGTTAATTCTATAATATTTAATATAAAAGCTTCCTAGAAACTTCCTAGATGGTGCTTTGACTTCATAGGTGTCTTTAATTGACTTTTTGGATTAGAAACGTAGTCAACAAGTTGGCCACGTGCCACACATGTTGTTAGCTTGAAGATCAAGCTAACTATGTGGCCTACACGTAGAAAAACTTGCCTTGTAAGTCAAGGCATGTATCCTATAAAGTCAATACATATTGGAGGTCCTATAGAATGTCGCCACGTAGCCCCTAGTTAGATAGTATATATAGAGACAAGAGTGAAGGCTTCTTCACTCTTGTCAACTCCTTTCTTGCTTCTAGTCTAGTTTCAAGGGTCTCTAGTTTTCTTGTCTTTTGGCAATAGCCATTCTAGTTTCTCTTTTCAATATACATACTTATTATTCATATTTTGTTACTTTTCTTTGAGTGAAGGCTTACTTGTCTGAACTATTTTTTCATCGAGTTCTTGTCCTTGACACACGTGTAAGCATAGCTACACCAAATCCAAACATCTTTGCTTATTACATTTTTGCAATAATTAAAAATTTATTTTTCTACCTTAATTATTCTTATACCTATCTATAATCTAAAGTAAATAATTCTTGATCAACATGTTTTTATGTTTGAATTTTTTAAAATTAATAAATAAAATTTTAAGATTCTTTTAATGAATGATTTTGATTTAGATTTATTATAGATTATTGTTAAGAAAAATTCTGTTTATATCTTTAATCAATGCATGTTAAATAATTTTTACACAATTTTTATAATGAAACAATTCAAAATAATCTATTTAAATAATATTTCTAAACTATAAATAAATATCAATAGATTTTTTTGAACTAATACTTAAATGACTTGGTCTTAATTGTATGGTTTTATTTATTCAATATATAATAATAAGTTCTTGAACTTAAGAAAGTAGAAAAAATACATATAAAATAATTTAAATAAGATAGGTAAATAAATGCTCAATAGAATTGATAGCTATTATAATCAACTAATTTCATATTTTTATTGATTACAACTATTCATACAAAAAAAATTTAAATGTTGTCTAAATAAGAGAATTATAGGTATTATCTATATTAAAAGATAAATTCTTAATGGCCTAGCTTTGGATACTAAAAATTCTAATAACTATATTGAGAAAACTTAAGTTTATTAATAAAAAGGAGTTATTCATTATAAATTATGTTTGTATACAGTGACTCAAAAAACTATTTTAATATTGACATATTTCAGAAAGAATGGTACATTATAAATGAATTGTAGTGAATAATGATATGTGGTTTCTATAGCAAATAAAATACTCCTTTACAACTATCAAATGAGCCTAGGTTGAAAAAATCCATTAGGTAATTGTGGAGCTATGACCAATCTAATTAAAATAATTTTTTGAGTGTGGTGTCTAATTTTTGGATTCTATCAATTATTCAACATTACAGCATTCTATCATCATTATAGCATTCTATTATTACTAATCTAATGGCATCATTAATGCTTATTAGCAGCTATAAAAACACCATTTTTAATTACAATTCCTAGCATAGACATATTCCAAACTACTACATTCTAAGACCTTCTAAAATCTTCTGCAAATTTCTAAAACCTTCTAGATACTTATAGAATCTTCTACAATCTTTTAGAAAGTTCCATAGACTTGTATAAGCCTCTTTAGACTTTTAAAAACTTCCATAGAAAGTACCATAGACTTATGTAACCTTCATTCTAGTACAAATAGGAGTCTTTGGAACCACTTTTACTATCAATCTCATTCTTTGTCTTTAATCTTGACATATTTCTTTGTGAGATTCTTGTATCCTTGACAATTCCTTGAACAACTATGAGATCCAATCTTTGCTCTCTCCAAGATAACATCACCTCTACTCTTCTTCATTCTCAAAAATCTTATAGCCAAACTGCTTCTAAACTTGGCTACAATAAAGCTATTATTTTAAGGCTAGCAAAAAAATCACTTTTAATAGGAAGAACCTTAAATTAAGTAGACCAAAGAAGCTCACTATAATAGATGAAAGGGCAATTATTTGCCAAATCAACATTGAGAAGGCTGAAAATACTATTGAGATTGCTAAAAACCTTAACAATATTATTTGTAATCTTATGTCAAGTCAAACCATTCAAAAGGTTTTTAAGAAATGGAATATGAAAGTTGTGGTGAAGAAGAAAAAGCCACTACTATCTACATGCCATCAAAAACAATGTTTGGATTTTGCTTGGAAGTACAAGAAATGGATTGTAGAGGATTAGAAGAGGATTATTGGGTCAGATGACACAAAAATCAAAGATTTGGATTAGATGGCAAAAAGTGGGTGTAAAAACAAAAAGGTCAATCCTCGCTTGACAAGAAACAGTTATGTATGGGAGTAGAAATATAATAGTATAGGGATGTATGGGATGGAGTGGAGTAAGGGTGGTAGAGGTTGAGGGGAGGGTGGATACTAAGCAATTTGTGAAAATTCTTGAAAAAAACTTACTTCTTAGCATTGAAGAATTTGGTATTTTTGAAGAAAATTATATATATATATATATATATATATATATAATTATTTATAGAAAATAAAATTTATTTATTAAATTTAATATCAAAAGTTAAATTTTCTTAGTACATTATTAAAAATGATTATTCTACTTCAAAGGTTTGGCAAAAATATTTGGTTGTTATAATGATTAGAAAACATATTTTACAAAATGTTGAAATAAAATTATAATTTTAGAATTTCTTTATAATTTTTAAATATATATAATTTTAAATATATTTGTATACAAGTTTATATTAAAATTCAATATTAATATTATTATAAAATAATAATTAATACCATCAATAAAATCTATATCAAAAATCTATTAAATTATTACATTCATAAATATAATACATGAAAAAGTTTATTGAAACAATAGTACAAGACAAAGGCAATAATGCCTCAAGAATATTGCATTTGTGTCTATAATAAATATATGAAATTCATGTTGTAAAAATTAAAAATATATTGTTACACTGAACAGTATAAATCATGTAATGACACTTTTTCAAATTGGAAACCATTCCAAATATAAAAGGAATTTGCTGCTCTAATCTTTTAAGTCTTTGCTCATATATTTGAATAAAACATCCTATGGGAAAACAAATCTAGAAGCTAATCACTTAAGGAAAGCTAATCTAAAAAGCTAATCACTTAAGGAAAGCTAATCTAAAAAGCTAATCACTTAAGTACAAATGGTTTCATCTACATCCCACAACTATGTATATGAGCGGATCAGCACGTTGACCTTAGAAGAAACAATTTCAATGATTTCACAATATGATGGGCCAAATTTGCTTTCAAAACGTGCCCCATTGTTGGGACTTCCAAATTGAACAATCAGCATTGAGCAACCTAGCTATAGCAATTGGAGCAACAACCCTCTACTTGCTTCTAATCGCTCTCGCTCTCTCTCTCTCTCTCTCTTCTCCAACTTTCAAACCATCTGTTGGATCAATGCAATGCAGTTACAAGTTCAATCAGCAATATTCTCCAGCATACAAAATAGAATGTGAAAGGCTCACACTCGAATGCGTGAAAAACATAAAAGTCTCAGAAGCAAGGATTTAGGACCACGAGAATGCCGACGTTAAATTTTGTGTGTCAAGGTCGCCTGATCAACACGTCGAAATTGGCTATCATGAAGGTTTTGCACAAGACCGTGCAAGATATTTATATTTCACGACTCCTGCACACAGCTAAACAGTCACCTATGCTTTACGAAGACAGCAACTGTCTCATTTTCCTAATTTACCGGAAGCAATGAGTTAGTATTGCTGATTCTTGACTTTCTAAGGTTTCTGTCGAGCAATCCGAGGGTCGATAAACTATTAAAACAGCAGTATATATACTCTGCGAACATGAGAATGATCTTCTAAAATAGTATACACTTTGTACAGTGCATTCAAAGCGCTGCCGAAACTCATGGCACCGTGGTCAGGTAAGAATTGTTGCCAATACATCTGAAGAAATTACCAAGACAAATTCACAGGTAGAAGTGAGTGAGGGTATACTCTGACGTTTAAAACATATCAAATCTGGTGCGAAATAGCTATGACAAAAACTCTTTAAGTGGCTCTGGGACACCAGAATTGTTCATTGTTTAATTTAAAATACATGCACGACTCTTTGAGTTAAATTTTAAAACAAACAAATAAATAAGTAGTTCCTATCAGTATCTCAGGAACGATGAAAATATAGATAAACCAAGAAACATACAAATAAGCCAAAAATCGTCAAATTCTAATGGCAAGTATGTTCGACATTAGTAGACTTATTTGTGACGAATTTCGGTCCCGAGCACCAACGCTTCGCAAAATACATGGCCATAAGCAGTTCTCCAGTAGTAAAATTAGTTCTATATTGGTTCCGTCCATAAACGTACCGCTCTTCGCTCTCAAACGCCGCTCCTTACAAGTAGGAGGCTTCTTTACACCCTTATTTTGTGAACGCATGAGTATCTGCAAATTGAGAGCACGAAATAGAGGTCAGAAATACTCCAGATTTTTGGCCGTTATTAGAACGGCGCAATAGACAATATTTCTCACATGAAACAACTCCGCGATAGGGCATTCGTCATTACAAGTTCAAGCGAAAACCACGAGGGGCTGATAATGCGAGCGTAGAGGCGAGATAACTTTAGTTCTACGAGAATAAATTCTGGTAAACGTCGTACCTCTTTAGTGGCTTTGGCTGCAACGGCATCACTGAGTAGAGCGTTTTCCTGGCTGATAATACTGTTTGAAGCTGCCCTCACCGTGGCTGTTCCAGGAACTGGCGCAACAATTAGCTTGCCTTTCTTGGTCAAACTGCAGTGAAAAGATAAGCCGAACTATCAATATAATATCTTGTAAATGCAGTTAAATTTCTGCATGAAAACAGTATGCCGAAGCAAAACCAAGGAGGACCGATAAACAACAACAGCAGAAACTGCGGTTACAGCAGCAGCTTTCTAGAAGTAATCTACTGGGCACTGACCGATCTCGAATTTACACCAACTACCTCCGCCACCAACGAATGTATCACAATCATGTGGAAACGAAGCTTTTGAAGAAGCAGAAGTTAATTACATATCATACTAATTAATTTAGTATGAAATGTAATTAGAGACGCATGCATCGTCCAAGTTCTGACAAGGTGACAGACTTGATTATTTAAGTTGGTAAATTGTTACAAAATGCCTTGTCCCCGGAGAGGGACCTAAGTAATAATTAATACAGTTATACTGCGGTTGGTATCCCTACATTCTTCTTATGACGTACATTTCGACAGGTGTGATTCTTAGCTTGTCAACTGCCGCCACTATTTCGGGCATTGCCTTGTTTAGCTCGCTTCGAAGCTTAGACTCTGATATTGTTGACCGATTCGTTCTTGCGAAGGCGGTTTTCTTCACAGAAATAGTGTCGCTGGGCTTAGATGGAGGGAGTTCCGAACTTCTAAGGGCTTTAGCATGCGCTGAAGGTAGAAGCGGACGTCCTCCCCAACTCGGTTCTTTGGTTCGATGCAGACGGCAACGAAAAGAACCGGGATGACTTGTCGGTGCACACAAACAAGGAACTGCTGCGGATGCCTGACGAACGGTACTCCAACTACCTCGATTGCTTGCACCTATTACACTTCGAATGACTTCACGATGCAGACGGCACCGGAAAGAGCCCTCATGACTTGTTGGTGCACACAAACACGGAGCCATGTTCGTTCTTGAGGAGGACAGCCTCGGGCCAGAAGCGGAAGCAGCGAAGTATCTTTCCCGTAAATATATTCACAAGGTGCGAGTGATCTGCAATGTACATATATCCTGAATAATTATAATCGACACAGCAGTAAAAGAGAGTACGAATCCTTTACGACACTACCAGAACCTGAGCACCTCCTCTCGGTCCCCTCTTCAAAACCGAACCAGCAGAAGCTATGGCTGCACGTAGCAAAACCAAAAGAGCCAGGACATAATCTACTTGGAAAGAATCGAACGCCGGTACAATACAATCACATGCAGAAACAAAAATGTACTAAGCATTGAAAGAAATCACTCTCGCATTCTCCACACCGCGAGCGACTTTCCTAACACAACCACCAACTCTCACGTATTCTCCAATCAACAGCGACAAAACCGCTAACGCAGACTCGAGAACTGCACTTGTGGCCAGTCACGAGATAAGAAGGTGCTAGTCCCGCACGGGACTGCCACGGAAAAGCAGGCCAGGAGATGAAAGACGATCGCGATAGACGGAGCAAAGAAAGTGGAACTAGAGTGCAGTTGCCATACCGAGATGACACAACGACAAGCCGGTCATCGGCGCAACCAACAGATGTGAAGCTCCGGGAAGTTAAGCTGTGAGTCGCGTAAATCCACGCCTGCTTAAGTTGCACTTCTCGTTCTCTCGCACTACCGAGACGACTCCACTCTCATCTCCAAATACCACTCAACTTCTGCAAAATCCAGAATTAACTTCCCTAGCCGCCATATTCATATTTATATTCAATGCAGCGTTCAAGCAAGCATGCCAAGCCTCAAGCATCTGCTCTCTTTACTTTAAAGTGAAAGAGGAAAAGGAAAAGATCTGAGAGGAACACAGTTTACTTATTCTTCGTAGTAAGTATGCGATGCATTATTCTTAAAATGAACTATGTGTAGTAGCACAAAATATTGGTAATGTAGAGCCGAAAACATTTTAAAAAACGAGGACCAATACAAGAATGAGAATTGAGAATGTCGAATATATTCATTTATTTATCCTATTATATGTAATTTGATCATTATTTCTTTCATATATATAGATAGATATATATATATATATATATATATATATACATATATTATTTTTTTCAAATTTATAAATTGGTATTCATTACTAAACCATTACATGACCTTGACAACCAGATGTCTAGTAGTTCCAAGCAGAAAACTTAATTCAACAAGTTAACTATAACCATGCCAATTATGGAATTACACCTTACATTAAAAAAAACAAAAAAAAAAAATGTATTTATTGGATTACACGTTACTGCTACCACATACTATTTTGCAATCGTTTCCAAATATTTATCCATGATTCTAAATATTGAGCACATGTCTAAATACAGAAACTAGTGGATGTTTTCTTGATTTAATCTAGAAACATATAGAAAACAGCTCTAAAAACTATTTGATAATATTCTGAACTGTGACTAAAGAAATGACAAAAATAATCACTTTATTGATTTGTCGAACAATACTTCACAGTTAAACATAAAATCTGGCATGTCTGTTAAACCAAAATTTCTCAAACTTATGTCCACACATCTAATATGGTATATGTACGTGATAGCTTGTATCACAAGAAAACCCACTAAACTGTAAGAAAAAAACCACATGATAATCTAAGTAAAAGAGAAATAAATCACAGAAGAACAACTCCTTGATACAAATTCATAAGTAAAAAAACAATTGCAAACATTGGATCATATAAATGAAATACCATGAAAAATCACTAAGGAATTTCTGTAAGAAAGATTAAATTAATAATGCAAAAAATGGGTTCAAGAATTCATGGTTCCCTTGTAAGAAATGTTGGGCTATGTAGAGCAAATTATATTTGTTCTATTCAATTTTGCATGGGGCTTGGTCAAACGTGCCAAGTCTCTTGAAAGAAATATAGAAATATCGATTCAATATTTTCTAATTATAGAATCATGAACTCCTTTCATACATATTTTAATTTTACACTATTAGTTTTGCTTGTTGATGGGAACAAATCTCATACCACTTTTATCACTGTGACAAAGTGGCATTATATAAATATAAATATCATTCATTGGCTCAATTGTTGCACAAGGATAACTCATCCCTTTGTAGACAAGTTACTATCACTTTAACTTTTTGAATGGCAACTTCTGTGAAAGTGAAATATAAAGAGAGAGACATATAAGACCAGATTATTTTCTCATTTCTTCACGACAGAGTAAAATTTATTGAAACAGAATTTGATATTACTTCATTTCATTTACATTAAATATTGGTGTTTTTAAATTTCTAAAATGATTCTTTAATTTTTTTATAAAGAGTGTAAATGGATATATATATATATATATATATAGATTATTTTAAGAAAACAAATTCCATTACTTTTACGTTTCTCATTTTTTGTGTTATTTTAAATAAGCTTGCAAAGATATAATTTTATAAGAATCTCCACTTAATCTTTCAAGTTAAGTTATTACGAATCTAATAAACAATTTTAAAAAATAGAAAAAAAAAAACGGTGAAATATACCCTAAATCATCACAGTTGTAACAGTATTTAAAATATTTCAAGATTTTAACTCCAACATAAAAATATGAAAAAAATGAAAAAATGATAGTGTATACATATTTTAAGATCAAGACAAAATCATTACTTAAAGCGCACATATTTCTTTCTTTTTGAATGATAAGAAAAAGAAAGATCAAGACAAAAATCATATAAAAGAATTAAATACCAGGACCTTAACTGTATTCCTAAAGGTACAACTTAGGTTAAAAAATAAACATTGTGTATTAAAATAAATAGGTGAGAACCTGTTTTAAATGAAAATAAAATAATTTTTTAATTTTAATTACATAATATAAATTATTAAATTCACAAAATCTTCCAAAACACAAAAATAGTATGAAGGGTTGTATATATATATATATATATATATATATATATCAATGTGCACCCATAATTTAGAGCTTACATTAACTACAAGTATGAATTTTATTTTAAAAATATACTATTTTTTGTACATAAAAAGATGTGTTGTTGTATTTGATAATACATTTATTTTTGAAAAATAAATATACAATGCACAACCAAGGATGATTGCAAAAATTATAAATGTATTTTTAAGGCACAAATAGTCAAAGCTTTCTTATCAAAACTTATGGATGAAGTATTCGAAATGTCAAGGTAGTGTATGTAAGTGAAACAATAACAATGATTATATTTTCTCATGCATTTTCAGTTTCTAGCTTATAGATTATCTATATTATTAAAAATAAATACATCAAATAGAATCTAATGTATACTAAACCATAATATTATACAGTTCTATGATATTTTTGTAGATTTTTTAAATAAAATGTGTAGCATACAAATTCAACTCTTAATTGCATATGTTGCATATCTGGTATTTTAACTGTATAATTGGATTTAACAAAATCTTATATTTCGATGCAGAAATTGTTAATTTTTGGAAATTTGAATGATTTATTATTTTTGAATACTTATTTAATACAACTTTATACCTAGTCTTTTCAAGTTTTTTTGCTAGAAAATACAAGGGCTAATTTTTAAATAAGCATATTTACTTTAGCTCTGTTAATGATTTTTTTGAAATAGTAAAAAATAGTATTTATATATAAATATCATATTTCATATTGAAGTAAATGGTAAGACTTCACAATAATAAAATAACCATAATAAGCTCTAAGGTCATTTATCTTTGAAATTAAATCAATAAATAATATCAATAAATATATCATAGATTGAGAAAAAAGAAATCAATATCAAAACTATCAGATTTGCGAAATAAACTTAATCAATGTTTTTTTAGTAAAATTTTAAAATAAACATAAAAAATATAAATATCATTGTAATAATTAAAATATATTTCTTAATTTAAATATGTATTTAGATATGTATGTTATATGTGGTATATTTCCACCCAAAGAACATAATGTTTAATTATACATTATTAAATCCATAAAATGCATGCAAAAGCTAAAATAATAATCATACATATATATATATATATATATATTAGAATCTATACTTAATATATTTTAATTCCTAATAAATATTTGTTGAAAAAGAGAAAAAGAAAAAAAAGATGAACATAAATATAAACCATCATAATCTTTTTGTAACTATAGGTCATCAAATATTTATTTCTTTCTCTCATTCTCCCTTTTTTATGTAAAAATAAATAAAATAAATAAATAACATCAAACTTAAAATTTAACATTTAAATATTTTGTGATAAAAAAATATTTGCAATATATCCATAGTATGCATTACTATCATTAGATAATAAGAAAGTAGTTTATTTAGATTTAACTTGAGAAAAAAACATATATATTAATGCTTACTAGAATAGAAATCTCTCTCTCTCTCTCTCTCTCTCTCTATATATATATATATATATATATACCAATTCAAAAAAATAAATAGACCCAAGTTATTACTAAATTGACCCACCCATCTTAACCATCATGAACAAAAAAAAATAAAAATAAAAAAATAAACCTTTAAATTCATTTCTCCACAATTGGATCCACAACCAATAAAAACCAACCACATTCATCATGATTACCATATTCTTCATCAAGAATGGATATATTTAGTAAAAGTATGGGTCTATTTAACATTCCCCCACAAATATTGCAAATATTGTTTATCACACAATAAATATTGCGTTTGTTTCTCCGTTGTGTGAGGCATCAGCGTCGTCGTCGCGCGGGCTTCCTCGTGGCTTCAGCACTGACAATGAGTGCCCACGACAGAGGTCGCCGCTGGTACGACCGCGACTCGCACGGATTCCCGCTTATCTCGTTTTTGCTCAGTTCGCTTCTGCTCTATCTTGCAGGATGATGCTTTATCAGTGCATTATTTGCAGTCTCGGCGTGGAGTTTAGTTTAGTTTAGTTTTAGTTTTAGTTTTTTTTTCTGGTCTTCTCAAGGCTCGTTGGCGTAGGTCGCTTTGTTCTCTGTTTCTATCCCTCGCCCGCGCTGAGTATGACCATTTCAAAATGTGGTGGGTCTCGAAATCCGCAGGTGGGGGGAATGAAGTGGAGGGTATAATGCTTTCTTTGCTTGAAGGATCTGGGAATCGTTGCGGTGTCGGGGGAAGTGCATCACGTGGCTTCACTCTGATACCGGGAATGTTTGGAAGCGCTCTGGCGGTGTATATTCTGGCTGATCTCGACATGTCGAGTGGGGTTTGACTGAGGGGGCGGGAGTTTACTCGATAAGTTCTCGATAAGTTCAATGCAGGCTTGTGGTTGGTGTGGGAAGAGATTCTGTCGATGAGGGGTGAGGATAATTCCTGATATATGATGGTGGATTCTGAGCGGAATCCAGGAAACGTCGGATTTGCACCAAGGCATGAAATCTGGGGGCTGTGTCCGTTACAATGCGCTGAAGCTTCGAATGATTCCTCGCGTGATTGTTGCGGACCGCAAACGGGCCAGTTGCAGGATGAGGGAAGAGTTGCTCAGGCATTGAATGAGAGCCACAACTTTGAAGCACATTATAATCTTAAGCGCAGCAACCCGAGAACCACAGCGTGTTCGCAAGTAATCCTCCAACAAATAATGTCGCAGGCATTTTGGTGATCTTGCTGACCGAACCAGCGTTTAACCAACAGTATTAGCGTACCGCAATCGTAATACGCAAGGTGACAGGCGAGGAATAAATCGAATTTCACCCAGCAAGAGATGATCCTATTGTGACTATGAAAGTTTGGCAGATCTGAATGATCTGCTTCGTATGCGGATTTGAAAACTTCTGTTACTTTCAAGAAGTTTATTACTACTTACAATTGTAGATGACCCAACAGAGGGTATCATTCAAACACAAGCAGATGCAACTGAAAACGAAGAAACAGCTTTGTTCTAGTTCAAGAGAAGTTTGTAAAGATGTTCTCTCACCACCATAGCTCAAACTGTGAGATGCAAGCTCATAAGAATTTCCTTCCCCACACGCTCTGCACGTCTTTCACTGGACTCTACACCCATCTTGACGCGTCAGGAACTAGAACAAAGCTGAGAGTCAAGTAGAGCTTTGTAATTATGGAAGATTGTTAAACTTTTAGTCGAATATCCTCTTCATTTCGTCTTGTTAAAATATTCTATCTAGCTTGAGATTGTAATATTTTTTCAAGGCGCAAAGTTGCTATCGAAGCTCTAGGTTTCACATGAAGGCCCAGGTGGTTAGGATCCTACTCTGATGTAGACTCTGAATGCTGCCATTTTGTTAAATACATGTAGAGCTCCCAGGGCGAGTTCCATTGGGATGTGATGCACCGATTGGGATTCCAGAATGTAGGCGTCCGATGCAGGCTTGATCTTAGAGAGTGCGTGGTCGATTTCGTGACAAACTGAGACGTTGGTTTCAGTTGCTGGTGCACATTGCGTAGGATTTTTGTAAGCGTAGACTGCAAAGTGGAATCCCAATGCTGCTCTACCAAAAGGATCCAAGTTATTGGCCCATGTCTCGAACCATGCTGCACGTCATTGAAGAGATCCGGACGGCCATCCTAACGAATTGCTGTCATGAGGTACACAGATTCCCCTCGATGAGAGTTTCCTCTAGAAATAATAACTACGGGTTGTGAGGAGGCTCGAAGATTCCCGGTAGTATTTTGCGTTTTCGGTGAGAGGCGTGTTGAAAGGATAAATATGAGCTTCGCGTGCTTATTCATCTGATTAGTCACTTGGATTTCCGACACAAAGGACGAGGCAGCATAATTTAGCCCGTCATTCCTCAAACAGAATCTGCATACCAGATCGTGGCTCGGCAAATTTCGGACACATAGCAGCATGCAAAATGGTGGTTCGATATCCAACAAGTGGGAAGAGGTAGAGGAATGTCTGAGACCATGGCATGGCATCAGACCACCGATCCAGCTTTAGCCGACGCCGTTGTTGGAGTGCTCCTTCTGCCGGTCAAAAATGCACATAAGAGAAACATTCGAGAGGCTTAATTTCACCTCACCAACACAAAGCCTGTGATTATCGAACCATCTTGTAGAAAACTGAACAAAAGCGCCAAACAGAAACAGTTGGGTGACGAAAAGAACTTTAGAATGCATTTGGATGAGATTGTCAGGGAGAAAGAGGAACATATTATGCAGGGTGTATTCAAACGCAATGTGCAAGCATGGGTTCTCTTTTTGATCGACGGTTTTCCGTCACGCAAAATTTTCAACTTTTCTATGATCCTTGGTAATCATCTTCTTCGCAGAGTCGATCATCTTGAGAATCTCCGTGAAATCCTTGTCAAAGAAGGAAACACGAGCTTCCAGATCCCCAACCAGAGGTAGTCTTGTTGACTCTCACGCAACCGCGTAAGTGAAGCACCTTGACTCCGTGAAATCGTTCGTGGTGAAATGATTTCTTGTTAGGAACTTAGAGGAAGTGGATCGTGAAGGATCTGGTCAAAAGTCGCTCCAGTAAACATCATCTTGACACCCAGAAGCTTGATCTTTCGTGTCGTGAAGAACAATGCTGTGGTCACAGAATTCAAGGGGTGATCGGAATACTCACCTGGACGATGAAGTGAAATTAGTGATGGCTGGTGCCGATGCGATTGGCCATTTCCCCCGCAGATTGGATGTCGGGAGAACTCTGCAGCTTAAAACGCAACACGACATGCATCTGACAATTGTTCCGTAAGTTTTCAAAATTACAATTTAAAGACCCTTATTTCTTAAGGACTCCGCTTAGAGAGAAATGGAAGCTCCATGCATGCTTGAGTCAAACAACTAAGGAAGGTTCACTGTGTAAAGCACTAGCGGAGATACGCACACCTTGAGGCGCGAGGCTCGTCGCCCCGTATTGGTTTCTGCAAGATTTCGGGCTGCCACTGGAAGATTCAAGCCCTCAAATAGCAGCGCACCAAGGGTAACGTCGGTTATAATTTTCATAAGCTGCTGAGTCAGTCGAGCTTATGTCACCACCTGTTGTGTAACTGGAATCGAGCTTTAAATGGATATTTTCAATTACTCGTCGGAGGCATTCTTCCTCTCTCGAAGACTGAGTGTAGAACAGGGGGCATGAAAGGAGCGCTTGGAAAAAGAATCTCCGAGAACCATTTGGATTGTAGTAACAGCGAAGCCTCCCATAGCCACAAAACTCAAGAATCAGGAACTGAAATGCAGTTTTCTTCCTTCAACTGTGGAAATGTCAATTGAAAATAGAATAATGGTAGAAAGAAAATTGAAAACCAAATTGACAAACTGAAACCAGGTGCTACTGACCGGCTCAAGAAAACTAATTCCACGCCTCTGAAGGTCAGTATCATGCTCAGCCAATCAATTTTCTCAGATAGATTCAAAGAGCAAGCATCCTTTGCATGAATGAAACAAACTTACCGCGATAAAGATATCCTTGGTCAGGTTGTGGAGGGGTTGATCCCCCGACGTCTCATCAACGCTAGGCAGACGTTCAACGGTAGCACCAACACTCCTCGCCCTCGAAGAATCCACCTCAGCCAGGAACTTGATAGTGAGGAATACGATCTAAGCCTAAGCGCTCCGATTTACTGTCTAGCACGACAGAACCTTCTAACCGAAATACTATTCGGAAACTTTCTCATTAATCGCTCTAGTAACAGCAAATCAAATCATTGCAACCCTGACTCTAGCACAGTTTGGTCGACAGAGACGAACAAGAGATTCACCCAAAATTCCATCATCAGAGACACAAAAAGTTAGCAGTAGTTTCTCGATAGGGATTTATTCCATGCTTCTATTGATAGCATGTCTGTTCGTCGTCACCAGAACTCTCGTACAACTTAACACTTGTATCGAAGCATTGTTAATTGAACTTCTCTATTGCTCCCTCTAGTCTTCTGTGTATCACTGTTCCATCACTGTATCAAAACTGTGATGAAACAATCAGAATCACTAGAACTCAGATTACAGTAGGAGCGCAGCAATAACACATTTGGGAGCCATGTGAATAACATCGAGAAATACTTCGAGAGCGATCCACCTCATGACTCTCTAGAACCGAAAGGCATCGATAATTTTGACGCAACACTATTGGCTACCCAGGTGCTCGACGCCTGCTTCGCCGAAACCAATCTCATAGAGACTATTGATCTTGCAGCACCTTGGTATCTGGATTCCAGAGCTTCACACCACGTCTCCGGCCAGAGAACGGTATTTTCTTCTCCACAACCCAACAGTGGCACACGAAGCACATCGGCCAGTGGAACCAGTTATAACGTACGTAGTACAGGCAAAGTCGCAATTCAACTTCCATCCGGCAAGGTACACACCATCACTCACGTCTTATACTCACCTAGAATTCAAAAAAAAATCTTCTTTCCGTTGGATTTCTTGCAGAAAGCGACATTGTACTAGAGTTCATGCATCATGCGTGCATTATTCAAGACACCTCCATGATCATCATTGCCAAAGCACTTCGACAAAATTACAATGGGGTGTACGAATTACAAGTAATCACCATCATTTTGAAACCCAAAACACTCTCATGCATCCTCTCTAAACAATTGGTGTCCACCCTTTGGCATAAATGCCTCGGTCATCCGCACTATCAAACCATGGGACGTATGGTGCAGCACCAGTCTGTTCTCGCCCTCCCCGACACTCCCATTATCGATCTTTCTTGTGAAGTTTGCTTTAAGGGAAAACAGACTCGCTCCCGGATCCCAAAGACACGCACACAACACTCAACACATATTCTTGAATTAATACATACAGACATTACGAGACCCTTCCGAGTAACGTTGTTAGGAGGAGCCCGGTATTTCCTTGTATTTGTTGATGATTTTTCGAAGTACACATTTGTATATTTTCTCTCTGAGAAGAGCGAATGTTTTACAAAGTTTTGGCTCTTCCATCACTTTGTCAAGAGACTAACGGGGAGACAGTTAAAGATCCTGTGTTTCGACAACGGAACCGAGTTTCTCTCTTCCGACTACAAAACTTATTGTGATAACCACGGTATTCGCCACAATCTTTTCCAACCTTGTACACCACATCAAAACGGCGTCGCTGAGTGACGCAACCAAACTCTCCAAGACGTCACTTGTTGTCTACTTTTAGAGCAAAATCTTTTCGGCTAACTATGGGTTGAGGCAGTTTAAGCCGCCTGCCTCGTCCTTAATTACAGGCCCTCAAAGCAACATCCTACTCAAACTCCGTTTGCGATTTTTACTGGAGTAAAACATAACATCGCTAGAATTTGAACTTTTGGATATATGGTTTTTATCGCGGATACTTCTCCCACGATCAGTAAACTTGACCTTTGTTCTAAATCCTACATCTGTTTAAGCCCAAATCCGCATTCTAAGGCCTCTCGTTGTTATGACAAAGAGAGGAAACAAATCATCTCGTCCAAGAATGTCCGTTTCCTTGAGAACTCAACACCCGGGGAGATCCCCTCCGCTCCTACAACCTTGGCCAAATCTACACCATCCTCACCGACTGCGCTACACTCCCCCCATCCAACACTATCGCTCTGCGCCGCTCCACCCGACTACGTTGTCCACCAGCGCAGCATCATGACCACGTGAGTATACAACTCATTGAGTCCTTTCTAGGCGCTGTCGAAGAAGTGGCCGAACCGCTCACTTATGCCGAGGCAGTCCAAGACCATTGATGGATCGCCGCCATGAAATCAGAGTATGACTCTATCATGATTAATCAAACGTGGTCTCTTGTCGAGCCTCCTCTCGGTTGTCGTCCGATCACAGCCCGCTAGATTTTTAAGCTCAAACCCGGTGCACAAGGCACCCCTCCTCGCTACAAAGCCCGTATCCTCACCCGTGGGTTCAAGCAAACCCACGGGGTCAACTTCCACGAGACATTCGCCCCCACAGTACAGTAGGAATCAATTCAGATTTTCACCGCTCTTGTTGCTCCGACGCCGACTATGCCAGTGATCTCGACACACAAACCTCCACCTGTGCATTTTTTTTTTTTTATGGGCAACTCCACACTCTCATCGTGCAGTAAAAAATAGAACATTACATCCCATTCTTTGTGCGAGGCAGAATACCGAGCCCTAGCCAAAGAAATGTGTGAGGCAGTATGGATTCAGCATTTAACATACAAACTAGGTTTCGGCGACGGCAAATCCACCACAATTTGGTGTGATAACTAGAGCACTATCAAGATCCCAAAAAGTCTCCTTTTTCATGACTGCACTAAACACTTCAAAGTTGACTTACATTTTACCCGCCAAAAAATTGAAGACAAAACAATCAGAGAATTCAAATCATCCATCGAGCAACTAGCTGATATCCTGACAAAAGCACAAAATTTGAACACTATCCTAGCATACTGAATTTCAAAACAATAACTGAAATTTTGATACATAAACCATGATCTCAACACTCTAGTCTCAAGAAGCAAAAAGACTTCTGCTTCTTCCTTAATCCTGAAGTCCTCTGAAATTCTTCACTTCCCTCTCACAAGCCGATCAAGATGTACAGATACCTACACGTCTTCCAGAGGCGACATCATAGTGACAACAGATTGGCTTGAGAGCCGTTTGCAAACGATCATCTTCAATATCAGGAGTAGAACAACCATCCCACATTGGCTATTTGAAGATATGACATTGTTGTGTAGTAACACAACCATCCATTAGATGAAAGAAGAACATAAATATTTTGTTATAGAGGAGCTTAAATAAAATTATTTTAGCAAATTATCTTAAAAATATAGATAATAATCAAGGAGGTAATAAACATTAATAAGTGCTAATGTAATCTTCTTTTAGAAGATACTTCTACTTACTTTGTAAGAGTATAAATGAACCAAATCAAAGTAAATGAGATATATAATTGATACAGACATCTTTGGGAGATAATTAAGAATTTTTGTAGTAAAAATTACCTCAAAATATCAAGAATTGATATCCAAAGAAGACTAGTTGTGAACCAAGTTCAAAAGTACACCCTAAGGTACAAAACCATGCACCTATAGTGACTCCAAGGTTCTTTAGTTGATTAGAATATGGGATTTGGAAGCAGACTTGTATGAAGATTTTTAAGAGTTGATTTCATGTGATTTGAAGGTATATTGAGGTTTTGAAAGCTTTTCAAAGTGAGAGATTTATTATGTAGGTTTGGATTTTAAGAAATAAAAGGAAATTCACAAATTTGATGATTTTGCAAGTATCATAGTATGTTTATAAGTAAAAAGTTTTTGATTGTTCAATGTGCTTGTTGTAAATCTATGCAATTTTTTTTATATCAATTAAGTAATTAGATTAAAGGTTGTAAGAATTTTTATAGGCTATGGTCTCAGATAATTGAAATTTAAGTCCAATGAAGGTTTTTGAAATTTTACAACATCCACTTATTTGATTAGAACAAAAATTGGCGAGAAAAATTAAAACTTAAATATCTACACATCATTTAAATTTTGGAGCAATTGAATGGTTTAACAAGGAAAAATCTTTGTTAAAAGATCAACATTCAAGTTAAAAAAAGAAGGCAGCTAACATCTAAAAGATTTTGAGAGCTTTTCTTTCAATTAGTGAATTCAATTCTTTTCAAATTTTGTATGCTTTTAAATTTCTTATAGATGGAGTTTGGATGAAATACTAATCAAAATCAATGGTATAATTAATATTTATTGAGGTTTTTAAATAACCATAGTAATTAAATAAGATTTATTTTAGATTTGATTAAAATTTTGAATTTAATTAAGTTTTTGTTATGATTGATTTAGGATTTTATTAGGATTTAATTTAAGATTAGGATTTAAGATTTGATTAAGGTTTGATTAGGATTGATTAAGGATTTAATTAAGATTTAAGATTTTTCTTTCTGTAAGTATTATCAATATCTTTTCTTCTTTAAGTATTATCATAGTAGAGCTTCTTGAAATGAAGAGTGCAATGGCACAAATACAAGAGTAATTGAGGAAGTTAATACTTGCAATGCATTAATTGAATTTACCACCACAAAGAGCAACAAGAATAGCACAAAGCAAAGATATAGAGATGATTAGAGCTGCTTCAACATCTGCACCAAATCATGTCCTTTTACCTATTGTGGAACATTGTTTTAATATTAAAGAACCAAAGATTGCAGTGCTTGAGAAGTTTGATGGCATAAGATCTAAGCTTTGAGGATTTATCAATCAAGTATAACTTGTGATTGAACTTCAATCCCTAAGCTATTCAATTCTAGGATCGCAAGTTAGATTTATTAGTAAACTCTTTTTAGATTCATCATTATTATAATTTTCATCTTTTTTTGAACAATGAGATTTAATATTAGATAATTTGGAGGCTTTTTTGGAGGACTTTTGATCCATGTATAGAGAACATGATGCAATTCATGTTACAATTAATAAGATCCATATTTTACGACAAGATAATTGATCGATAATCTTATATGCTTCATAAATTTGATGACTTGCAATTAATATCAAATGAGATAACATTGCACTTATTAGCTAATTTTTCTATAGATTACAATATGAGGTAAAAAAATTGATACTCAACTTACTTAATCTTCAAACATTGAGTCAAGTAATTCACTTTGTTGTGAGGTGTGACAATCAATTTTTTAAATTTTTATTTGAGAGTTGCATAAGTACACATCAATGTTACTTTGATTCAATGATAAAACCAATATTTACTCAATACATACATTTGATAGTAAAAGATATGCAAATCAACACAGTACATTTTAAACCATTTATTCAATAAGAAAAGACTCGTCATTGTTGAAAAAAATTGTGCTTATATTATAAAGAATCTAATGTCATAGACATACATAGGTATTCTAGTTTAGCAAAATCAATTCTAGTTTAATATTACATCACCCTTTGAGTGACTTTCTAGTTGTCTTTAGTGACACAATAGTATATTAAAGATTTTCTTTCTTCAAGATTCATGTCCATGACAATTTGACAATAGTGCTAACATATTATTTTTATCTTATTTAAGAAGTGAGTGGAATATTTCACTTCTGTTGTTGTATTTTGAAGGTATTGGACTCCCACCTTTAAACAAAAAATCTTATTATCTAACACTCATGTTTTTCTTAAAGAGAATAGATTATCCTTCTTTGTAAAAATTTTTATTAGAGGTTGTGGATTATCATCCTCTAATTTAATTTTTTGAATTTATTTGAATTATTTAAGGAAAGAAAGATTATGGATACTATTCTTAGCAAAAATAAGAATAAATTTATAACTATTGAAAATCTTTATATGCTTGATAATACTCTAAGAATAGAAATCTCATATATTTTGAA